ATAATAATAATAATAATAATAATAATAATAATAATAATAATAATAATAATAATAATAATAATAATAATAATAATAATAATAATAATAATAATAATAATAATAATAATAATAATAATAATAATAATAATAATAATAATAATAATAATAATAATAATAATAATAATAATAATAATAATAATAATAATAATAATAATAATAATAATAATAATAATAATAATAATAATAATAATAATAATAATAATAATAATAATAATAATAATAATAATAATAATAATAAGAATTTTTAACTTGAAAACTGTCACGGTTTTTTTTTCAATATAGATCATATATAAGTTCACATTTTCCGGGAAGATTGCTGAAAAATATTGCCAAAATTAAATGTTCCGTTCTTATATGTTTCAATAATTTGACTTAATAATTGGTTGTTTCTGTCATGCCGATTAATTAAAACATATGGGCTAGTGTCACTTTTTCATAATGTAATTGTTTTTACAAAGGATGATCAGATTGATCAAGCAGAAAATTAATGGAACCAAAAAAATCAATGAAAATAATTTTGGAAAGTTTATAACAACTATTGGAAGGAATTAATTTTACATCTTATAAAAGAACGAACGAGAGAGGGAGTGAGAGGAAGAAATAGTGAACTTTCTTCGGTAATCTCATCTCAATAATTACATGTGCAAACTTATCGTTAGGATAAATGTTGATAGCAACGGCAATAATAATACGAAGAATGTTAACGGTAATTGATGATAATAATTGATGGTGACTGATAATAATAATTGGTAATAATAATAATACTAATTGGCAGTAATAATAAAATATATTTGGGAATAATAATAATATTATTATTATGAATAATAATAATAGTATCATTAACAGTAATAATGGCAGTATTAATAATGATAAACAGTATGGTTGTTTTTTTTTTTAATTTTGGCTCAAACAGTTTCGTTTTTCAAAAACATTCTTAAAGATACTTCTGAAGTTTAAAAAAAATGGGTCAAAAATGGATTGTCACTAAAATAACTTGATAAAGAATTGCGTATTAAAAGAGACTCTATTATTACAGCGCATTTTTTTTTGTTTTTTCCATTTTCTTTGTTTTTATAATCGGTCATTTATGATCACTGCAAAAAATGGTACTATTTTACTAACGAACAAACGAATTAATTGTTGATGACAAATGGTATGATTGCAAATATGGTCAATTCTAATTTCATTTCTCAATTGGTAATGAATTATTTATTCTTTTTAAACTATCAGATAAAAATTATTACCATCACTTACCACTTTGGCTGAAACTAATAATTAGGTGGAAAGGGAAGATATGGAAAATTTAAATTTGAAAAGAATGCAAAATTTGTTGGAATTGAAGCATTCGATTGAAAATGATGTTGTTTCTTGCTGCTGTTGCAACTGTCGTCGGTGTTATCGTTGTTGCTTGTCGTCGGTGTTATCGTTGTTGCTTGTCGTCGGTGTTGTTGTTGTTGTTGTTATCATTAAATTATGAAGTTTTAGATTATCAAAATCTCATATAACATTTGAAAAAAAAGAAATGTGGCATTCAATACGTAATACAGCATTATTGATTGGTTGGATTACTTTCTTGTCTCAAAAATTCCATTCATTTTTCTTGGTGTATTTGTCAGCAAAATATATATTTGATTAATAAAATAAATTTTTATTACAGTATAATTGGAAAAAAGAGGTCGAATGTTCAGCTCCTATGGTCAGTTTATTCATTGTACAGTTCGATACTTTAAATCAAATACATATCATTTTTTTAGATTAGGGTGTTTTCAGATGCATGCACATCGATAATTGTTAGTCGTAAAAAGATGTGAAATTCACATCTGATAATTGCATATTTTAAAATATCAAACATTTGGCAACTAATAGTGCAAGTTGGAAAAGGTATGATTATGACAAATGACAAATTGCTGTGCCTGCTAGAATGAAAGTAAAAACGGAAAAAAGCAAAGTAAATGAAATTTAAAAAATGAAAATTAAGGGGAAAATCTGAGATTGCTGAAAGTTTTAAGCTATCATTTAACATTAATGAAGAATATGAAAATCTGTTGTGAAAAAGAGATAGAAAAGAATGATTCAATTCCAAAACAAATATGAAAGATTTATTCAATCCTTAACATTATTAACATTAATAATGAATATAAATATTTCCTGGGCTAATTTCATTCAATCTTTAATATTTATCAGATTGAATGTTAAATGTTTCATAAAATCAATCAAAGCGACCGAATGCTATTTAAAATGTAAGAATAAATAAGGAATGAAAGCAAATTTAGTATGCATTAATACCTCAAACTTGAAATTGATTTTAATTATTTATTT